GAAGGAATCTATGCAACACGCCCTACTCCCGCCCCTGCAGGTACACATTTTTTCCACGACTGCAAAAGGAAAGTCACTCATTACTAAACAGCTCAGCAAGGCTCGCACTATTGGAGAATATAAAGTTTTATGAGCGGGCCTCTCCTTCTCTCTGGGTGTAAGTGAGAAAGTGAGAGAGAGAGAGAGGACCGAGAGGCCTGGCTCAGGAGTCCGGGGTGAATTATAGACTGCCGCTCAAGATTCACAGCTCTTCGTGGTAGGAGGTTAATATTCTCACATGTCATTAGGTCTGCTGGCTCTCCTGATGGTTCATTGAAGCAGGCAGCAAATTATTTCCTCCTGCTGCAGAGGACAGCACACTTCAAAGCAAGGGAGCTCAGGTCAGGACAGGCCTCCGGGTGGATTAATGACTTGGGATCACCAGGGGTTGTCTGTAGGTAAGAATGGGCCTGACGCTTTTGACAAAGCTAACTTTTTGATCAGTCTTGACCCAGCTTTCAAGCCAGACCTCCAGATTTTATTCCTATCACCTTCTAAGGACCTGCCAAGGCCTGCGGGAAGATTGAGTAACCTGTCTGGTCATTTTATCTTCACTTGAAACACCTCCACCTGCTCTCTGCTGATATGCATCCCCACCAAGGAGCAAGGTGGAGTTTATACCCCATTTCCTCGGAGGAGGCTTCTGAGCCTGTCCCAAACCCAGCTGGCCACTCCTGGGCTGAACTCCCAAAGGATGTATATTTGCAGGCTCCTTCTTCCACTGGTGCACAGACTAGAGCTGTTCTCCTGTTGCCCCAAGTGTCTTACTCTTGTCTCCTTGACCATTAATTAAGCTATGTGACTGCAGGCACCATGCTTATATCTCTTTGCATCATCCACAGTGATGACTAAGCAGTAGGAGGAGAAAACTTAGGTGCCCTGGATGCAGGCCTACATCCTGATCCTGCCTCCCTTCCAGAAGAAAGGGCCAAGAAGAGACCCAGAAATGTTTGTAATACAGGCTCATCAAAACATGTGTTTTCAGCTGGGCATAGTGGCATTTGCCTATAGTGCCAGCTTAAGCCTAGGGGTTCGGAGTCCAGCCTGGGAAACATAGGAAGACCATGTCTCAAAACAAAACAAAACAAAAAAAAAACATTTGTTTGGAGGTAGCATGGAAAACATCATTTTTAAAGATAACACTAACTTAGGGAAAAATAAGGGCAGAATGGTAGAAAAGCACAAGATTCTCAAAGAAAGTCATGGAAGAATGCAAGGTTGACCTTCCGTGGGCTCAGAATTGCTAAGTAAGTATATTTCATGCACATGCCCGTCATAGTCTATGTTGTTTTCAGTTCCACGTTTTCTAACATCAGGAAGGCTCTCGAGCACCATCTGAGAGGTTGCCCCGGTGAGAGATACGGAAGCTGCCAGGGGGACTTGGAAAAACCTCTGCTGGCAGGCTGTCTGGGCCCTGCACATGCAGCTCCCTGAGTGGGCCGCTTGGGCCAGGAGCCAGGAAGCCTAGTGCAGTGGCTGTGGGTAAGTCGGACTAGACTCCCAAGTGTTTTCTTCCCTTAGAGTAAGGGGCCTACAGCACTACAGTTGGGGGAATAAAAAGAACTAACACTAGGCAGCCCCCCATGTCCAACCTGGAGGTGCAAATGAAAGCATGGGAAGCACTTGGTAATCCACAAAGCACTCAAGAAATCCAAGTGCTGGTCCTTACTGTTCCAATCCTCTCTCCTTCCCCTGCTCGACTTACGTGGAAATTTTCTCCCTTCCGTTTTCTGCTCCTCCTTCCCTATCACGTCCCACTCCCTTTCCTTGAAAATATCTTTACTTGTTTTCACGTAACATGTTTTCAATAAGGTGCATGGTGAAAACAAATAAAACATACACGTACACACTCATGCACCAGGTGTCTATACCCATAAAATGCAGATAGCTAAGAGGCCTGACAGGTGAACCCCATCATGTCCAGTGTGGGTCAGACCCCAAAAGGCAAAGCTCCCTTGAGCTGGCCACACAGCTAGGCAGCTCTTCCTCAGGTCACTGAGGGTTTGGTACAGCATCAGAGAAAGAATCTGCATTGGGGGTCTGCAGACCGGCCCCACCCCGTGAGCAGAGACCTTCCCCTCTCTGGCCCTCAGATTCCTCCTGAGTAGAATAAAGAGGGGTGACTAGATCAGAGTATCTAAAAGGGTAGCTTATGAACCAGAATTTCCTGAGACATTTATCAAAAATGCAAATGTCAGGGCTCAGCCCTGACTTACAAATCAGACTCTTTGTGGGTGGGCCCAGATATCTACAGCCTAATTTCCTAAGTCATTTCTATGTCTGCCACAATGTGAGAGCCACTGGGCTCCCCAACACAACTATATCTTCAAGGTCCAGCCAGGTGATACACGGCATTTCAATGAATCCAAGCTGCATCACCAATGGCAGACACATCGTTTTTCTATGTACTAGAAGGGAAAAAAAGACACTGTCAATTAAAAATGACTCAAACTTTTCCTACCTGAAAATGCCTCAAGAATGCTTTTCCTTTTTTATATCCTGCTTGTTGCTTTGGAAGAAAATATGAATCAAGGTCATTACTACAACAATAAATATTTGCTTTATAATATCAAGTTTATGTTCTTTCTGTACACGCAATAATTTTTTCTTTCAATGCCAAACCACAATGAATTCTTAAGTGACACATGAAGTACCAAGTACGTATAAGTCAACCAATGCAAAGATAATAAGAACAAGCATAACCCAATTCAAGTGTGAGCTGATAACAACTCCATCACAGCTGACTCCTGGGCAATGACAATTTCAAGATGCCATCAATTTTGAGACAGATTCAGGGAAGTTAAAATGGGAAAGAAATGCATGTCTCAGAATTGCTGAAATACAGGAAATGTGCATAAGACAGTAGGGAGTGGTGAGGACTGAAGGAATCCAGAGCGCGCACGCATTCCCCGTCCATACGATGATAGCATTCGTGTTGAACACAGACACCGCGGTGAACTGTGTCTGGCCCAAAGGTAAGATGACCATATACTTTGTCTACACTGGGGTACCTCCCTGAATAAAAGGGACACGATTACTGATTACGTCAGGAAAACAGGCATTAACTAAAACTGTCCAGGGCAAAGCGAGCAAGGACTTTTCCTACCCATTAGCCACCAAACAGCATCTCCTGGATAAAATGATCACTACAGCCAATCAATTCGAGCATTTGGAATCTTCAAGATTATGCATTGATTGAAGCTACTTTTCACTTTGTGTCTTTAAAAATTCCTGGAAACCCAACATCTTTATGCCTTGTATAGTTCCCCTAAATGTCCACAACTGTACCCTTAATACAAGGTGTCCCGTACATCCTCCTGAGGCCCCACTGCAGACCCCCAGAGAGATCGCTACAATTGTTTGAAGGGATTACGTCAATAGTTCTCAAGTAGGGGGGCAATACTACACCCAAAAGACATTTGGCAACATTTGGAGACATTTTTGGTTGTCGTGACTGGCTGATCCTACTGGCATTTAGTGAACAGAGGTCAGGGATGCCGCTAAACATTCTACAATGCACAGGCCAGCCCTCTACAGCAAAAAATTATCTGACCCAAAGTGTCATTAGTGTCAAGGTTAATAAACTCTGGATTACATGAAGGGTAATGATTTCGTCCATTGTGGGGCGAGCTGTCCTCCTTCCTGTGAGTTCTGACAACTGTCCTGGCAAGCCCTCCTCCCCAGCTGCCGAGGGTTACAGCTGAATCCCGTTGGTCCAAATCATGATCTAGCCAAGAGCCTCCAGAGTGACGGGAGAGATGGCACAGCTGTCAGTCTCCACGAGGAAAGTAATAGAACTTTCCCGGTTTCGTGGGAGCAGACAAGATTGACAGACTGCATGACTTTCCCCTTCTCCAACATCACTAGAACAGAAAGTGACAGCAAACATATCAGACGGGTTGAAGCTGCAGCTCTCATTAGCGCTCAGAGGCCCTGAACTTCCACAGCTGTTTGCACATCTGCCCTGGAAGCCAGGACAGCTCAGGAAAACACCTTATGCAGTATGGGCTTGTCCCAGGCTTAAGACGGGTCCCCTCGGACATTGCAGGTCTGCACTAACACGGCTACCTGAGTGTGGGCAGAGAAGTCACCTTGATCGCTCATGATGGGCTCCTCTTTCCATAGGGAAGTGGCAACCACGCTGGAAGTACACCCTCCCCACACGTACGTCCTTTAGAGAATGGAGAATCAACCCTGAAGGTAACGACAGACCAAGGACAGAAAACAACGGGATTGATTTAGGACCAAGGACAGAACGTGAGGAACAGAGATCTCAAAACAGGCCAGAAATACCTTTTTGGTTCCCTAGGGCTACCGTAACAAGAACCACAAACCGAGCAGTTTAGAATAGCAGAAATTTGCCTCCCATTCCTGTAGGCTAGACATCTGAAATCAAGGTGTTGGTAGGGTCATGCTCCTTCTGAAGACACTAGGGGAGGATCTGGCTCAGGCCTCTCTCCTACCTCCTGGGGGCTTGCAGAGTAACTCCAGCGTTCACATGGCGTTTGCCCCGTGTATGTCTCTTTACATGGCATTCTTTCACGAGGACACCAATCGCAGCGAATTGGGGGCCTACTCCACTCCAGTATGATCTCTCCTTAACTAATTTTATCAACGACAATCCTATTTTCAAATAAGGTCCCATTCCGAGGTTAGGACTTGAACATCTGAATTTAGGAGTGGGGGACACAGCTTAGCCCATATACAAGTCCTAAGTGACGACTATTCTTATAAGGAATGCCAAGGTTCTCACCAGTGTCTAAGGAGTGATTTCATGAGATGCAACATCACAGCAGCTACGTGAGCCAGCAGTGAGAACTGAAGCCGTACACACTGATGGGTGGTCAACCCAACCCACTTAAACCAGTCTCATTCTCATTCTCCTTTCCCAAGACCTGGCTTCCTACTCCTGGTTGAAGATGATCATCATTCAGAATATAAAAATACAGCATACTATTTACCTTAAGTTCACATTTGCATTCATCTTCATTCTCTGAAACACAGCCACAAACCTAAAGGTAAATGAATAATGCCTGGCATGAAGTCAATGCTCAATAAGATGTGTTCCTTTCTGCTTCCCCTCAGACCCAACGATGATGTCACAAAACCAGGATATACCACGAGCATTCATTCGGAAAACTGTGACTCTCAGTTAAAGAATTTTAAAATTCTAGTCCCAGTCCCTGGCCAAAATTGGGAAAAGTAAAAGGAACAATGGCTACTACATTGACACCAAAGGTAAGCAGATTAAAAACTGCAACAAAACCACCTATGAAAATAAACAAACTAAAGCTAATTAAAAATTCAGAGTAAAGGGGCCATTCAATGGAGGGGCATTGAGCACCATGCCCTGCAGTAGCCACCAAAAACTTGTGGTCCATCATCATGAATCAACATCATCAAAAGAAAAATTCAGCATATATTTAAAGAGAATCTCCATTGCAGTTGCTTGTATCTGCAGCATTAGACAACTACTGCATTTAAATTGTTTATAATTCTTACGGAGAGACAAGATGTCGACGTGTGGAAATTAAACAATATGAGATTCAAGGAATAACTCAAGATAACAATTGAACTGTCACAAAGCAATATGTGATTATACGCCACATAAACAATATAGAAAATAAGTGCTACAAGAACTCAGAGAGAATGATTACTTTAGGCTGAAAGTCCAAGAATGACACATTCAAAGAAGTAGATTCTGAGATGAGACTTGAAAATGATAAAAGTATACTCTGTGTAACTGCTTCCAGAAAACAGAGGAGGCAATAACAGAAGTTTTAGAAAGATTTCATTCTAAAGTAGTTAATATTATTTAATGAGCAAAGATAACCAGTAAAATGTGGTTAAGTGGATACCCCATTCAAATACTAGAAGAATCATGGGATGTTATAAATGGATAGTCAATGTGTGGTAGGCAGCTTCCAAGGCAGCTCCCAACAATCCTGTCCTCCTGCAAGTCATGCCCTTGTAAAATCCTTTTGACTGGAGTGCGGGCTGGACCTCCTGACTTGCTTCTAATGAACAGAATACTGCAAAGGTGATGAATGCCACTTCTGAGATCAGCTTACAAAACCTGACTTCTGTCTTTCTGGACCTCTCTTTTTCTCTCGCTTACTCTCTTCTGTGTATGTCAGGAGCTGCCCCATGGAGAGGCCCACGTGGCAAGGAACTGAAGTCTATCTCTGACCGATAGCCAGCAACATAACGAGGCCTTAATCTAATGTCCTTCGAGGAACCGAATCCTGCCAACAATCATGCGAATGAGCTTAGAAATGGGTCCTCCCCAAGCAAGCCTTCAGAGGACGATGGCCCTGCTGAACCCTTAACCACGGTCTTGGGAGAGACACCAGGGTTAAGCTATAGCCAGATTCTTGGCCCGTAGAAACTGTGCGACAAATAAGATCTGTCATCGTAAGCTGCAAAATTTAAGGGTAGGTAATTTGTTACTCAGCAATAGATAACTATTAAATAATATGAATGGCAAGATGCTGGTGCATCTGTTTCTCCAATCTTCCAACTAAGACCCTCTCCATCCTTGTGATGAATGTATATCAGACTTAAATAACTCAGATCAAAACATACACGAGAACAAAAAAATATTCATACACAAGTAGGAGAGGTATAGTACATTAGCTTCTGGGTAGCAGGCACTTTACATTTGCCTGTATGCCTCAGAAGGACATGTCCACATCAGGACATCTGGGGCCCAAACCTTTCTGGTCACCTCTCCTAGAGGGGCTGGGTATTTAGACATGGTGCCCAGCAGTCTGGCCTTGTGGAATGGCAACAGGCCAGTCTAGATCAGGCCTCCAATAACGAAAAACAAAAAGGCGCCAGGCCCCAGAGGGCTAAGCCACACTCAGCGATGCAGAGCCAACAGTCCTGGGTTCTACCACGTGAGCTTCCTTCTTGGTTTTCCCTGTAGCCCACCTCCTGGAGCTTAAGAAGGAGCCTAAGCTGATGAATGAAGAGGCTCAACGACCTGAGCTCAGCTCCTTCAGTCGAAGTGGCACCGTGCACTGCAGCATATTTGAGTTCTCCAAGCTGAGCTGCTGTTTTGGCTCATCACGCTTGCGAAGGTGTCAACTTTGTCCGGTGGAAGGGGCAGGATAGAGCAGCACTGTCTGCTGTGGAGATTCCACCCTTCTGGGGCACACAAGCTCACAGAGGGTTAGGCTGGCGTTCCCAGAAGCAGACCTTGAAATGAGGGTCTGAGAGCAAGTCACTAATTCAGGAGGTGATCACACAAGGCACCAGGAGATAGAAAAAAAAAAATAGGGAAAGAGGTCAATAAAGGATGCATGATGAGACAAGTTACTGCTGAGGGAACCCAGGGCTCGACCCCTCCAGGGCAGGGATCAGCAAACTTTTAATGTAAATGGCCAGAGAGCAAATATGTTAGGATTTGTGGGCCAGATGATCTCTGTGAGAACTACCCAACTCTGTAAAAGCACCCACAGACAACAGGAAAATGCATGGGCATAGCTGTATTCCTATAAAACTTTTTTTCTTACAAAACAGTAGGCCAGATTGGGTCCACCACTGGTTGTTTGTCAGCCTGTGCTCTAGAGGAACATGGAACGCAATGCCGATCACTTCTCAGCAGCATCCCAAATGAGGGGCAAGGGAGCTGGGACCTTTATCTACCTCGTCTTGTCAGTCATCAGTTGAGGGCTGAGCCGGTTCAAGGCACCACAGAAAAGAGGTGCAGGTGTCTGCAGTCGGAAGCCATCAGACTGGTGTACACAGGAATGGTGACTGTCAAGGGCATATGGGCAGAGCATGAACGGGGTCGGCTAGGAGACCCTGCCTGGCCTAATCCATTTTTAAAAGGGAGGGGGAGAGAGTGGTGACAGACAGGAAGGGAGGAACAAATCCAGAAGCTGCCAACGATGGGTGGCATGGTTTGTCAACACCATTCTCCCTCCTCTCTCTATCTCTCCCTCTCCACCTCCCCCCCACCCCCAGACTTTTAAGGAATTGTCATGGCGATGAATCCAGCAGGTGGAGTTTTCTAGCACCACAGTTCACCTGTTGCCCCAGGTAAGTCCCAACCGCAGCTCAACCACAGCAGATACCCTCACTCCTTGGAATACCCAGAGACTCCTTCATCCTTTGGGAACTCTTTCCTGTGTGTGGGTTTGCGGTGGTTTTTGTTGTTTTAATTTTAAATTTGCAATTGAAACTTCATTGTGTTGAATGGGAAAACTATTGGGAAAATCAAGGAAGGGACTGTGCAGCTGCCAAGTCTGCATCTTAACCCCCCCTCCCTGCATCCTCACTGAAGGGGAGAAAAATGACCCTTCCTCTCCTCTACACCCAGTTAAAGTCAAAGCAAAAAAAAAAAAATTAAATTAAATCATCTTATTATGTAATTGGGACTAGGCCTCGGGCTACAGCAGTAAAGAAGGGATTAAGGACAGAGCCACCTGGGCAGCCATTCTCCTGGGTCCCATTACCACCCCCCTCATTCCTTTTTATAGCCAACAGATTAAAATGCGAGCCTAGCAATCTTTGATCTTTCACTTGCTGACACAAATCCTTTCAAGCTCCCAACATTTTCTGCTGAGGTAATTAGTACTAATTAAAAGGTTTCCAACAGTCTCTGCTCCGTTTTTTTCTCCCCCCTTACGTGTCTCTCTCTTCTCCCCCTCCCCAAAAGAAATTGCTTTTACAGGTACCTTCCATCTCTGAAACACGGGCATCCCTCACTTCCTCCTTTATCTGACTTGGCCAGATCAAGTAGATTAGTGACTCCATTATTCCAAATACAAAGCCAGACAACAGGTTTTTACTATCGCGCCTGACCTGTTGAGGGTGCAAGGGCTGAGATGCCGAAACAAGCATCTTGGCGTGTATGAAAAGACAGTCCAATTATGCAGGAAACGACAGTGTGCGGCGTCTTCTTCTGCCCAAGGAAGGACATCATTTAACGACGATGTGTTTAACTCCAGTGTGTGTCACACCCATGCACATGCCTGCACACACACACACACACACGCACACAAGTACGCACACGCGCACCACTTCACTGCTCCAACTGACAAGTTGCAAAACCCATCTCTCGACTTGCTTTGCTCCCGTGCTTCACTTTTGTTTGGAGGGGTTCCAGGGTAGGGCAGATCCAAAGGGACTGTGTATTTAAGGGATAATGCCAAAAAGTTAAAGAATGAACCATCTTCTCCAAGTTTAAAAAAGGCCACAGAACCATGGATTCAAATTCACAACCCAAATCACAATTGCTGTAACCGTCCACTGGCTCTTTGCCACGGGAGTGGGTCATGGACGCTCACCTGTTGTACCTTGGCTGTGAGCTCTGTCCTGGAGCAAGCGTAGCCCTGACAAGAGCTGAGACAGCCCATGGCCTGGAGCCATGTTTGATGACAAAGAGTGCAGTGGCTGAGAACTCTGGCTGGCAAGTGGCTGTCCCATCAAGGGGGACAGGAACCTGGTACAGACTAAGGGCTTCAGCAACCTGGAGCCAGAAGGTCAGTGTCAACAGTGGGCCTGTGCTTACCTGCCCTCCAGGGTCTAGCTTTGGGCAAGGCCACTACTCCTTTCCAAGCCATCTTGACAATCTGGCCCCCCTGAACTGAACTCAGACCCTGCCTCTAACCTTAGAGCCGCAGTCCTCCCTCCTGGGCCCTGTGTTTCTCTGGCCAGCCTCACTGCCGCCTCCTTCCTCCCCGGCCTCCAGGAAGCGAGGGGTAGGGGACTACCCTGCAGGCCCTGCCCTCACCCCACAGCTCTGGACTCTTCCTTCTTTCCCATCCAATCTGGAGACATCTGGGAGGACTGGGACACTCCAGTGCATTTACCCTCAGGGGAAAAATCCTTGACCACATGTTTTGTTCCACCTGCCTTAGGCTGATCCCTGGAGGAGAGAGCTGTGACAGAACACTCACTCTTCAAGATGCTGCAGCTCCACAGGGGAAGGGTAGATGGTGTTAATTTCTTAGTTGCACAGAATGGCTTTCTCACAGTTAGGAAACTGGGGCTCAGAGGGGTG